AGAAGAGTATAACGACAGATAAAGAGAGAAAAAAAGATGCTTTGACAATCGCATCACTTTCTATGGTTATGCAAAAACTGTGCATGGACAATTTATGTATTATTTAAAAATAATAATCAAACAGGAAATGAAAAAAATATAATTTTTAAATAGCTGTTGCCGTGTTTTCACATAATTCATTATTATTAAAGATACTGCTAACTATAATTTTAACTGTAACGCTGTATTCGGGGCTAGTGCCAAGAAGCGAACAGGACGTGATATCTTTACAGGTCTGTTCATCATTTATGCAGAAAATGCTAAGCTTCTTTAGTGTCATCATATAGCTTACTGTCGAGAGACTAGAACCGCCGACTTCGATTCTACTAATAAAAGCTTCGCAAAAACCTGAAACCTTCTTAATCTGGTGAAATTACAAACGGCTTATTATAAATATTTGGCGTCACCACTTGTTAACGATACGAGCATGCGACTTTCACATGAGTTAACAAAACTGAATTGGAAGAAATTGATGCATGCAGTAGAGAAGTGTTGAAAAATACTCCGATGAAGCCACTTACGCTTGGCAGACACACCACAGAGTTGTTATTATATCACGTCAGCGACCTGGAAATGGTAAAAGTCAAACGGACGGAACGCATCAGACTCGAACGAGAGCTATACAACAATGCGACAGTGCGCGTTTATTAACGGAAAATGGGCAGGCTGCTTCTTGGCCTTCAAAGCGTAGTAGCTGAAAATATCGGGAGACTTACGAGCTAAAGATCAAAAGATACTTAACGAAGCTGAAGAGTGCATTCAAACGCTCAATTTTCGCAGATTCTTCTGTTGTGATATTGATTGCGACGACCTGTGCGATGATATTTGATAACTGACACAAAGAGAAGAATTAGACCATTGAGAAATATGTCAACACATTCCAGTGTATCGTGTCTTTGCTTTCAAACTGTCCCAGTTGTTTCTGAAAGGTCTACTTCCGAATATCATTTTTATTTCGAGGATAAGTGAATCGATGACCTGAGCGACATACAATACTACAGTAAGAAATTGAGAAAGGAATACGAGATAAGATGCTGATCTCGGATGTCGCATGTACGTAGACAAAGGGTGGTACCGCGGGGATGAATAAATCGAAGAAAAAATGAGAAAGGAAAGGGCACCGGGCAGTGGCGAGTAGAAAGCGAAAGCTGCGGACTCGAGCCAGGATCACGAGATGTTGACGAGCGTTATGTCGAGCTTTAAAAATTTCGCGATTCCAGTAACAACCAATATGCCGAAGCGTGCAGCACAATCCCAACTCCTTAAGCCCCGGCACGGCCGCTCTGCAGTACAATACTGAACGAGTTGGTGATGGTACAAACAGATTCGCGGGCGCTTGCTATCTCTGGGGAGGATGCGGCTATCGAAAGTAGCAGTGCTCAAACCAAGACGGTTCACGACAGTTGCTTCAAGTGTTACTAGGAGGGGCATTATCCGAATAATTGTCTACAGAGCATTGAAAGATGCTGAAATTGCAATGCAGAAAATTGTAATTTCCAAATCTGTTACAACTGAGAACCGTTAACGGAAAAAGACGATGCGGGAAGTGGTAGCTCAACGTTCTCCGCGTAGATTCAGATAGGTCTATGGAGACAACCGCAAGTACGGACAATAACGTGATGCTTTTTAAATGGCGATCAGTGACACAGTTAGATGAAAGGTGTTGGGACGAGCTTCGAGTTAGTTTTGACAAGTAGTGTCCCGAGAGGAATGTTAAAGAAGTATCTGATTGGTGAGCATGCTAACGATGAGCTTACGGTTAAGGGTAAGGTAGATGAAACGATGGCAGAAGGGACCGGGTTAGATGACAATCTTCGCACAGAGATTTTGAGACCTTACCAGTAAGCTATGACCGAAGCGAGAGGCAGTATGCGGAGCCAGGGAACCTGAGACACCTGCAATTTAATGCTTGTAAGTAGTTCGTTGTAGTAAGTATTGTTGCGCACCAGAGATTCGGAAACCACTGTACCATAAATCAGTACGTCTAAGAGTTGACGAGCGAGCACTCATCGTATAGCTCGCTATAGCCAATGAAAAGCCAAGCACCGTTGGGAAACTCTCCAATTGTTAATGATCCCAGCAATGGTTGTCATGGAGTATCAGATAACGTACTAAGTTATGTCATAGTTCACGAGATCTAATAAGATATCTCAGGAGTATCTTTGGTCGCGGTGAAGGCAGGGATCATGCGAAATACGACAGATGCCCTAACCTTTCTTATTAAATTGCCAGTATTAATTTCATGGTTGTGGACTATGTAGAAAATCAACCATTACTGGTTATGAGGATCGTAGAGAAATCCTATAGTGCGCATTTTGATACAGGTGCAGAGTTGGTGGTAGTAGCCTACAGGATCACGAACAAGTTCCAGAAGAATTTCACTGGATCATCAGCAATAGTGCATAGTTTCTGAAGGTTACCGATGGAGATCGTGGGCATACTAATACTTACAATAGCGATAGACGGTGTGAAGCAAACATTTCATCTCGTTCAAATCGAATAGAAAGTTCATAAACGTAGAAAGCGAAATATCGGAACTGTCAATGTTGCAGTCATCGCAATTCAAACAGTTGACGAAATAATGACGCAGGTTGACCCGAAAATCCCAAAGAGGTAAACGGATTCAACCGGATAAAATATTTGGCTATTCTACGTGACCTGTCATCTGTCCCGTAGAACAGATGCAATATATAGAAGAAGTCTTACAATAGAAGCAAAGAAGAAAACAAATAATCAAATTTCACGAAAGTGACTTAGTACTCAGGAGGGTTCATATTTTATTGAACATGGCCGTGGAAAGAAATGCGAAGGTAGACCCGAAATACTCCTTCCTACATAAGCTTCTTGTAGTGTTTTTTCACGAGATCTACATGGCGACTACGGATTGCCGGGGTTAGCAAGTGTTCGATCACTCTTTGTCATCTACGTGTGTGTTTGTTTTATTTTCTTCTATTTCTTTGTGTTAGTTCATTTTTTTGGTTCACTGCTTTATTTCAGATGATTGAAATCGTGGGATGTGTCTTGAGCAAAATATGACTCGTATCTATCCTTTTTTAGACTCAGAGAACGAGCGGAAAGATCTGGAGATCCTCGCTTATCAGTTTGGCATAATAGCGAGGTAAGTATACGGCCGGTTCTGTGAGAAATTGCGGTATCTCAGTAGCACCCGCAACTACGGTAGAGCTGGTATACAGCAGCTTTCAGAGAGATTGATGGCGATCATCTGAGCTAACCCGTTGATCGTAGCCGTAGTTATCAATCCTTAGAGTGTTCAACCGACTTTGAATAACGTAAGGGAAACAGCGGCTCGATGCTTGGCATCTATGTCCGCGATGGAGCCATTTTCCCGCTTGATTAAGGTAACGGTTTCCGCGGGATTTCGGCAATTTATGAACACATTAGTGCCAATAAAAACCAACCACCTTACCATCAAGCCGGCATAGACCTCTTTCCGACTTTTAGATGCTTTGGTCAGGAGCATCGAAAAGCCGAGAAGAAAAGTCCTGGACGTATTAGGCCCCAGGCGCTACAAATGACAAAGAGCAAGACTATGACCGTTCCTCAGAGTCTGTGCATAACTTTGTAATCGAAGAGCCGAAGTTCTGGATGCTGTCGCCCATTTTGGAGGGTTCATCTTCTTAAAGGCGGGAGTAATCGGAGCTGTGCGTTCTCATTCCAATGCTTTCTAATCTAGTCCTTGATATGTGGGTTGAGTGGTCAGTATAGTCACGAAGATTTCAGTCAAATTCTGGTACCAGGATTGATCGAAGAACAGTAGCATATCATCCATATCCGTCCTCTTTTAGACTTGAAGGGTGAGTAAAAAGATTTGGCAAACATTCTCGGTTATCGATTAGACATAAAGCGAAGTAGGAATGCGGTCGGCTCTGTAAATGATTGCAGCACCTTAACGGTGCTCTATAAAGTAGAGTTAGTGTACAACGGCTTCTTTTGTTCCGCGTCCATATTCATCTGAAAGTAAAAAGAGGCCCAGCGAACACTAGCAGAGTTGATAGATAGTTGATTCAATGATCAGAAAAAGGGTTGCCGGAGGTGATACTAGCAACTTGCTGCTCGTGGAATCCCTCCTCTAATCAACGTCTGCCCAAATAGTCGTTGGCAGCAGCATCAGGCGGATTAATGTTCTTTTCCACTCTTCGATCAGGTGTATTACAAGGGTGCCCAACATTTCAAAATTGCTTCATAACTATAATAAAAAATTTTCGATTTCGAAGTTAATATAAAAAATTTTAAATTGCAATTATTTTTACTTACTTGTAGCTACAAAATTAATCTCACAATAGCCTCTAGATTCTATAAGTATTAGTAGTAGTCTACTCGTAAGGAAGTTGTTTTTTTAAAGTGCGAGTCTAAGGTTCTAACATACTTTCTTCAAAAAAATTTTAAATTCAAAGCTAAATTTTTTTTTCCAAGGGTCATATTTTTTCTGTCAAAACGGCGGTTATATAAATTTAATTGCATAAAAAATAACATGAACATTCAAGTTTTTGTTCTTCCGATCACTGGAAAAAGTTTAGTGAGTACTTTAGATGATACGGTAATATACTAATGATGCACAAGGCTTTGACTTAAAACATGTGCAATTCAAATTTTCATGCTGTATTTTTCAAAGTTCCGTACTTTTAAATTACTATTTTATTCATAAAACCAGTAGTTATATTAACTGCCAATGTCGATGTATGCAATGAGGATTTCAAATTTAAACGAATTAATAAAGTTGAAGAGTTAGTCAACGATATGAAGGCAAGTGAAGGAAATAATGAACAGATTTATTACTTACGTTTGTGATATCCTCAAATATTCTACAGTAATTACTTTCGAATACTTAAATATAATAGCAACATAGAAATTACATATATAACGTTTTATTTATTAAACGAAACTTGAAAACTATATCGTATATAAATTTAGTTAACGGCTGATTCAATGATGTTTTCTAGATTTATACGATTTTATCAAGTATGATTCTGATATTGATAATCAGCAAAATTCAGAAGCAAAAGATGACTGGGATACTGCAATAACGTTTACAGCTAAATCTCTAGGTAAGTTTTTATTTTCAATCTCTGCGAAAATCTTTTTGAAAAATTACATATTATCCATGATATCACCTATGGCATTACAAGTGTTTCTCTTAATAGATAATGCAACCGGAATTAAAACTTTGTAAATGTATGCAGTTTGAAATAAACCATTGTTCACGGATGTGTGTCAGATCTATTGTGAGTAAGGCGGATCATGAAAATATTTTTATTTAAACATTCCTTTCGAAAGGATTTTTAATCACTCTGATTCTCTATGTCTGTCCCTTAATTAGCAAGCTTAGAGTTTACCTCGCATTCAATGATACTGCAATTTGCAGCGAATACACGGCTGCGTGATGTATTGCGTGTATCTCTTTAAGGAGAGCTTGATGTAAGAAAATTTAAAGAATAAATACAGATGTAAAGAATTATTCGGATTTTATGCAAATTGATGCCGTTTCTTCGTTTCTACTCAATCACAAGCATTTTTTTGTTATTCAAAAATGTGACCGTATAACGTTCTACCTGCAATTCCTTGATTTTTTTTAAATGTCATATAAACCATCGTGAAGCGCTTCTTTCAAAAAGAAATTACAAAAAATTAAGTATCTATGATTTTTTTGACCCATTTAAGCCTCTTTGAAGTTATTTGTTCATTCTTAATAAATACCGTCAGCATCAGCAGTACCCGATGCGTACTACGAGGAGGTTGCTGATTGGATTTTACGCATCATATTTGCTCTTAAAAGGATTTATTATGTAAAGCATAACACAAATTAGAGATCCTGTGACTCGTCCTTTCTACAGTATTTTCTGACTCCAAACTCTATTTGCCTAATGAGAAAATGAAAACTTTAAAAAGGAAAATATTTCATACCGTATATTGTCCATTTGGCGTTGAATAACCTCTTCTAATCGTTTTTACATATTTATATATGCTCTTATAAAATCTCGAGATATTACGTATCAAATTTCATTTAGAATAATTTGAAGGGTAGCAGGAGCTCTCTCTAGGATACTTAGCCTTCTACCCATCATATCCTCAACATACTCAATAGATCTAGGCTATGAATAGGATGAAGTAGTCACTATATATCATTTACTTCCAAATAATCACGAGTTACTTTTGGAATGTAGTGGACAGACAACATCAAGATGAAATTATATAAAACTTCGTTAATATAACGTGCAGCTATTGATCCTGGAGGTGGAAGAATCACCGGATTTGTTCGATAGTCCATTGATATTCCATCCTATACCATAACGGATCCTCTACCAATTGATTAAGTAGGATCAACAAGATTTATTTCATAACGCTCACGTCTACATTCTAATTTAGAGTTTTAGCATTATTCTTACCTAAACATCGGACTTCTTTCTTAACCAAACATGACAGAAATAACAAATTAACAAAATCGAGACTCGGCTGTAAACATTCTCCATTATCTGTGTGTCTAGTTTGGATGATTATGGACGTAACGTAAGCAAGGTTGCCGATGCATGACTATCAACATGGATATTTTCGCACAAACTAGTGACTTTCAACCTTTTTCCTGAAGACGCATTCTTATCATCTGAGCTGACTAATTTGTGTGGCTGGTAGAGCTTTATTCCCAATTTTTCGTGCAACTTTTTTTGGAACACGCAGAGTTGCATTAATAATGTTCTAATCTGCCCGATTCCTAGTTACCCTAGATCGATGTTAACGAAACCTTCGACAATAAAAATCTGTTTTATAATACCGATTAAATACACGCGATACCTTCAAGCAATAAATCCTCATCTTTCATCATATCTCGTTCTGATTGAAACTCGTTTTTAGCAATCTCCATAGTAAAATTAACGTTCAATACACATCCATTCTGGTAGGAAATCTTCAGCATTTGACTTCATCGAAGATACTTGATTTTTTAAATTTCTTGTTGGAAGAAGCACTTTATGGTAGTTTATGTGGCATTTTACATAAAAAACAAAACCTAAATATTCCAGGTAGCGCGTTAAACGATTATATTTTTTAATAAAAAGAAATGCTTAGTCGCATCTAATCAACGTTTGAAACTTTTTAAGCATTTAATAGGCCGATATTTGTAACTTTCGTCAAATATTAGACAAATCAAAATAGGTTATTTCCACGTTTCTTTATTTGCTGGTGCATAAACAAAACAGCTACCAAAAGCTATTTCTCTAGCAACAAATCTGCAATATAATTGTTTAATCAATTTGTCTAAAAAAGACTTTCTACGGCCTGTTGAAGCACTGATAAACAGTTGTAGATGTATTGTTACATTTAAAATTTGTTTTAATATATGAAGCTCATCCTTTTGCTACTCGCTAGGTGTGTACATAAGTTGAAAGAACTCATTTATTTCCAATGACGTAACGTTCATCGTTACAACTTCCAAATATATTATCATGTAACGTATACTCAAAAAACTATATAATAGTCTGATACTTCATTACATTAGCACGTGTTATATATCGTATTACTCTATATTACGATTGGCAACATACGCCAATGTAGCATAGTCAAAACGCGCCATTTGTTTTAATGAGCGTGCAGAAATATTTACTACCATCCGATGGCTCCGAAATATAACTTACAATTAATGAAACTCACTGTACCTAATATATTTACTCTTCCCGCATTCTATTGTGCATAAGAAGCATAGACAATCAGATAATAATAGTTCTCACAATCAGTTTTTTTTAATGCCCTTGGAAGCAAAATAGGTGTTGTTACTTGAAAAATTTTTCTTGTATTACTTCCAATTTTTTACTATCTCTCTAATACTTTAAGACAATAAGTAAATGTTATTACAATATGGTTATATGAACATGAAATTTAGAAGAATACTCCAGTGAGTATTCTATCTTTTATTTTAAAGTATAAAGTGTGCATGTATTAAATAAATTAGGATTTATTTATGTGTTCATGAGTTTATGTTTCTTGAGTCTGGCATTAGTGAGGGATGTCTTAAAAAAGTTTGCTGATAGTTTATTTGGGGGATTTTAGAGTCTGGAGTTAAATTTCACATAAAACTTTACAATTTCTCCTTTTACTGTTGGACGTTTTTTACCTTTATATCGTTTCTTATAATTTTTTTTTAGATGAACCACGAGGCTCGTATGATACTACGTAAGATTTTCAATTGAAATCTTTCCAAAGTTTCAATATTTGAGTGAAGAATCACCCCATAGTTTTATGCTATAAGTCCTGACTGGTTTGAGTACAATTTTGTATAGCTGTTATTTGTTTTCGATTGACAGCTCTGATTTTCCATCAATGAGCCAATATATTTTTCTTCATTCCAGGGCTAGCTGTTTGCAATTTATGAACATTTTTTAAAGATGTTGCAAATGTTTGGAATAGCGACTAAAGGTAGTTTTTGATTTATTAAATTTTTAGAATTATTCTTCCGTTTTTCATATCTGCTATTCCTTTTGTGTATGTATTTTTTGATAAATTCAGATGGATAATTATTCTTCTTCAGGATATTAGTAACCATTTTTTAATTGCGTAAACGAAATGTTTTGTCAGCAAGTAAAAACACCCGGTTCACTAAATTTGAAACTATATTAACTTTTTGATGAATTGTATGTTCTGAGTTAAAATTCAAAATTCTGTCAATTTGTGTTGTTTTTCTAAACCAGTCAAATTCTAATTTATTATTATTTCTGATCAATTTTAAGTCGAGAAATGGAATAAAATTATTCATTTCAATTTCAAACGTAAATTGTAATCTATTATGATAAGAATTGAACGTCTCGACAACTAAATCAATTTTATATTTTGGAACGCACATGTAAGTGTCATCAACATATCTATAGTAGAAAACAGGATTAATTTGATATTTATTCCACAACACTTTCAGGCAGTATTTCTCCAAGTCTTCCATTACAATATCAGGCAATAAAGGAGAGATAGGGGAGCCCATCGCGCTTCCAAATATTTGTTTATAATAAATATTGTTGAACACAAAATATGTGTTATTCAATAAAAACTCTATTGTAATCTTACAATTTTTAATTTGTTCATAACGTTTGTCCAATCCCTCCAAGACTAAATCACAAGATACGGGGTCTGTCCGGAAAGTATCGGGCCTACGTTTATATCTTCGTGCCATAGTATTAGAGCGACCTCTACCGGACAGAAACGTCAACAGTAAAGTCTCACGAATCTATTGGTTACTTACTGACACCTGCCGGACGTATAGTTCATGCGCAGCGTGTCTTTGTTTACAGTGCCTCTTTCGCGTTCGTCGGATTGTGATATTCTCAAAAATGACTGAAAAACAAGATCAACCATTTTGCATCAAATTTTGCTTTCAACTCGGAAAAATGAGTTCGGAAACTATTGAAATGATGCAAAAGGCCTACGGAAGCGAGTTTATGAGCAAAACACGAATAAAAGAGTGGTATAAACGGTTCAAGGATGGTCGCACTTCTGTCGATAGTGATTTTCGTTCCGGCTGAACTTCGACGACAAAAACCGCAGATAATATGGAGCGGGTGCAACTTGCAATCGAACAAGATCGTCGTATGACTGTGAGAGAACTAGAAGAAGACCTTGGGATACCAAAAACTATCATTTCGGAAATTTTAACCGAAAATTTAGGAATGAAACGCGTGTGTGCGAAATTCATCCCATAATTGCTCACAGCAGAGCACAAGAACATTCACTTAGAAATCGCTCTGGACAATCTGGAAATGGTCAATAATGATGATAATGTGCTTAGAAAAGTTATTACAGGTGATGAATCATGGGTTTATGGTTATGATCCTGAAACAAAACAACAATCTTCACAGTGGAAGCATTCTGAGTCGCCAAGACCAAAAAAAGCACGTCAAAGTCGGAGCAATGTTGATTGTTTTTATCAATTGTGAAGGTGTTGTACATCACAAATATGCACCAACAGGTTAGACAATCAATAAAGAATACTACATTCAAATTTTGAAACGTTTGCGTGATGCAGTAAGAAGAAAACGGCCGCACTTTTGGGAAAGTGGTGATTGGCTTCTCC